CGACAGGAAGTGAGATTCGATTTGTTGACTTAATTTGGAATCTTACGGGTTTCTAGATGGGAGATTTGCAGTCGCACGGAGAGTTTTGTGACTTCCAGACTAACCGGTGGAATTGCTTAGTAAACGTAATCTGGTTTTATAAGAATGTTTGCTTCGGTTCAGATTTTTTCAAACAACGTTCATCAGAAGCTGTTCGGTCATACAGTGATTTAACCGTTCCTGGCAGGATTTGTAAGGATTCCACAGCACAGAGGGGGGAAAAGAAGTATGTGATCATGTGAATTAAAAATCCAGCCAGTACACTGAAGTTAAGAAAGAGCCAATACTTTAAAAAACAAACACAATTACTAAGGAGTCTACAATCACAGCGGATCGCCTCTGTGACTCCTTTACCTGGCTGTAATGGGAAAACTCGCAGCACCCAGGGACTAAGGACCATGCCACCTTCCTGGCGTGAAGCCATTACCATCCTCACTGCTGTGCCCACGGCAATGGAAATAGTGTCTGAGCTGGAGAAAGAAGCCTGCCTTCCGTAACTTTCATGTTGAGTGTCCTCCTCTTGGTGGCCCAGTGGGAGGCACTGGCTTGTTGGCATTGGAATTGCCCCCTCCCCCTCTTCCTGAGTATAGATGCCAATGGGTGTCCGTTTTTATTTGGAAATGGTATTCCTGGGACCTTTTTTTTTTTCTTTTTGTTGCCACTTTTGAAATTTACTTGTATTCTCATTCATATAGTCTCTCTCTGCCTGCCTTCTCCCTCCCTCTTCCCCTCTCTCAACCTCTTTACCTCCTTAAAAGTACTTTAATGGGCTTCTACAGTATTCAAATTGTAATGAATTCAAACGGTATGGTTTCCAATTTCACCAGGAGTAATGAGGTCAGCAGAGAAACCCCTGATGTTACAAAACATCCATTGAAATCTGCTGTTCAGAATTAAATTCAGCTGTAGCCAGTGATTGTCAATAATGAAAAAAAAAAAAAAATCAGGGAATTCCGGGGCTTTCCGATGGTTCGGTCCTGAAACATGCTCAACTCAGAATAAGATGAACTCGGTCTGCCCTTCCAGACTTTGTTATGTGGCTTCCTTCCCCTGTATGGCAGCAGGCTCAGGCATCCAATAGCATAAGTTTGATATTCAAGAGTCTTATTTCAGTTATCTTGGATCTGTCCTAAAGAAAGGTTCATAGATTTCTGTACTAATAAGGGTTGATGACTTGTAGAGACCAGTGAAGTATTCTATTTCTAGGTAGAAAAACATTTTATTTATACATACATTTCATGTATAAAAATACACATAAAATCTTATATATAGGGGCAGGAAGAAGGGGATCTGTGATTGGTTATGTAAAATGAATAAAAAATTTCTTAATAAAAAAATAAAATCTTACATATAAAACAACTTACAGTAAGGCATTCCTAGTGATGTTTCTCATAGTACATTATGAAATATCATTAAGATATCCTGATAATACATGCTAAAGATCGACTTATTCTGATAATAATACATTTCTATCTGAAAATTATAAAACTCATCCATTTTTTTTATTCTCTGAGGAAAGAACATTTTTCTGTATAAGCTACTGATACAGGTTTTGCACCTAATTTTTTAAATAAAAGAATCCAATTTTGTGAAAATCACAACTATAAAAAATATATTAACTTTCCCATGAAATATCCTGAGTGGCCGTAAAATAATCAAGACTGTGTAGATGGTAAGTATAATATTCTCATCCTCTTGTGAGCCTGATACACTAAATTTAGGAAAGTTCTGGGTCAGGTCTGTCAAGTGAGATTGTTCATTAGACAGTAGACTTATTTTCTATGATGTACTGTTGTGGTAGTCCTTAAAAATTTAAGTTTTCATGTGTGTTTCTGTATCATGGATTCCTTTTTGTAAAGAAAAAGACAAAATTTTACTTCTCTGGAATAAAAGTAACACGGTAGGCAATGGGCATCTGTCTAAAAAGGAGGGCACTGGTAGCAGATTCTGTATAGTATTTTATTTTTTTGTACCTTAATAACTGAACTGTTAAAGAGTGTGGGTGTGTGTTCTGAAAATTCCTGTTCAGTATACTTTACAATGTTTTATTTGCCATTTGGCTGCCATCTTGAACTTTGCAAACATAATCTGGATTGTGTACATTGTGCATTATGGTTACTTAAGTTACAATGACACCTAAGTATTGGTACCTCTTCTCTCCCAGATCCAGACACAAATATAACAAATGACCTAACTGATACACACACACACACAGAGATGAGACATATTCAGCCTCAGGCTTCAGTAGGTAACAAGGTTTTGAGGTAGTTGACATAGGGAGGTATGTATGGAGCATGGCAAGCCTTCAGTACTTGCTTTAGGACAGCACCACTCCTGAGTATATGCCTGCAGAATTGAAAGTGGGGTCTGGAATAGGAGGGATCTATAAAATCCATGTTCATGTCGGTATTACTCAAATAGTCAAAAGATGGGCAACTCAGATGGCACAGTGAGGAGCTTTTCTGTTTGAGAAAGAAATTCTGTACTGGGAAGATGATCCTTGAAGATTTTACATGAGTAAACAAATATGCTATACGATTTTTTTTTTTATTTTTTTATTTTATGTGTATGAGTGTTTTGCCTGCATGTATGTCTGCACTACATGTGTGCCTGGAGCCTGCAGAGGCCAGAAGAGGGCATCAGACCCCTGGATTGGAGTTACAGATGGTTGAAAGCCATCATGTGGGTCCTGGGGATTGAACCTATGTTCTCTGGAAGAGCAGCCAGTGCTCTTATTAACTGCTGATCTATCTCTCCAGATTCTACTATGATTTTTATTTGAAGTATTTGAGTACTCAGATTCTTAAAAACAAAGCAGGAAAATGTCTGCCAGAAGATATGGCAATATAGAACGAAAGTTGATTAATGGAGTTATAGGCTAAATTGTCAAAACTAGTACCCTCCACCCCATTCATTAATATGGAACTACATTTGAAGGTAGTTTCTTAAAAGGAAGGCTGAGTTAAATGACACTATCAGGATGTGGCCTAATGAAATCTCATCAGTTTCCTTGTGACAGCAAATTTGGAGACACAGAACCAGCAGGGCAGTTCACACATAAAAAGACCATGTGAGAACACAGCAAGAGGGCAAGAGATGGGAGACGAGGGAGGGCAGTGGGGCAGGGGTGTCAGTTAGGAACAGATTAAATATAATGACAAATGTCACAGTGAAATCTCTGAATGCCAGCCAAAATAATAGTTCTAGAAAGGGATTTTTGAACTATACGCAGGCACACAATCTCTAGAGATTTCAGTTTATAGATTTCAAAAGATCACTGATTTTCCTAGTTAAATAGACACTATCAAATACCTTTTTTCTCCTCTTTTGATTATTCTTTGGTGACCTGTTTAAGAAAAATATAAATGTACTTTAAAAAAAAAAAACTTGTACAGAGTTTATTAAAAATAGCATCAGAAAAATATTCAAAGCTTATCTGTTTCAAAATACAGTACAATAGCAGTCAGAGTAACCAAACACAGAGGGTATGTTTAGGTGCAGTTTCTTTAGGGCAGAGGATTGATATGGGATTGAAACACTTACTGTGTAAATAAACGGGGCTGCTTCTGGAGGGGCCCTTCTGCTCTTAGAGTCAGCAATTCTTTGGTATTTCATTTCCTTGTTGATTTATGGCCCCTCCAGACCCACTGAAAACAGATCAGCCTCTCCCAGGAATTTTCTTTGTTGCTCTTAAGTACTCCCACTTCTTCACAAGTTTATAGCATTTTAACATCTCTAGGGCAATTGACCCTTTTTTTTTTTGTGCTAGGGATTTAACTGGGGATTTGCACAGGTTACTCTTTTTTAAGATTTATTTATTTGTACTGCTGCTTTGCCTCATGTGTATCTATGTGCACCACCTGCATGCAGAGCCAGTGGAAGTCCAAAGAGGTGCTTGGATCCCTTAGAACTGGAGTTACTCATGCTTATGAGCCTCCATGTGGGTGCTAGGAAGCAAACCCAGATCCTTTGAAAGAGCAACAAGTGCTCTTCTTAACAGCTAAGCCATTTCTTCAGCCCCTACAGTTTGATGTTTTAAGCACCATTTTATGAGATACTATCTGCATAGGCATAGCCTTAAATGAGTTTATTTTCAGTAAGCAAATAAGTGGAAATTTAAATTTCTGCTTTTCTGCCATTTTTATCTACCCTTTATGGAACCTATACTCAAGTTTTACTTGAATTCCCTGTTCAGTACAAACATACACTGAATTCATATGCCCAAATTATTTAAAGTCTTTTAAGTTGTATAAAATGTTTTGTCACAGTTTTGTTTCATGAATATAGGACTCATGTCAAATGCTGTCCTTATTTATTATTCTTTAGCTTTCTGGGCTTCTCTATGAAATGAGAACACTTACTTTGCAGAGTTATTGTGAGCTTTACATTAGATAACATCTGTAAAGTCCTCAGTTACCCTATTGCTATAGGTTAAAATCAAGCATTTTACATGTTAATTATAATGAGTTGTGTTTGAAATTAGGTAATAATTAACTTAAGGAAATGGGTCCTTCCTGTCTTCCTGCCAAGATAGATCTTATTCCTTTGGAACCATAAGACAAAATAAATTCTTCCTTAAGTTGCTTTGGTCATAGTGTTTTATCTCAGCATCAGAAAAATAACTAATATATTGAGTCTCCCTTCAAATTCATGACCACTAACTTTGAAGGTGCTATCTACACTCCTCATGTGGTGATATTTTGTTTTACTTATTAATAAAATTTGCCTGAAGCTCAGAGGATAGAGCCAGCCACTAGATTAAACAAAGAGGCCAGGCAGTGGTGACACACACCTTTAAGCCTAGCACTTTGGAGGCAGAGATCTGTCTGGATCTCTGTGAGTTCAAAGTCACACTGGGCTACATGAGATTGATCCAGTCTAGGAGAGAAGCAGATCCAGGCAGTGGTGGCACACACCTTTAAACCTCATGAGATCTCATGCCTTTGCTACCAGTATTTGGGAAGCACACACGCCATTAATCTCAGCACTAGGAAGGAAGTGAAATGGCTGAGTGGAGAAAGGTGTGTAAGACGTGAGGAGACAGGAACTAGAGCTTTTTCAGCTGAGGACTCAGGCTTTCAGTCAGGATTCCTGGAGATAGAATCTCACCTTCTATTCAGACTGAGGATTTGGTGGTGATAAGAAGTTTCTCTAGTGGCTTGTTCCTTTGTCTGTCTGATCTTTCAGTATTTACCCCAATATCTGGCTCCGGGTTTCTTATTAATAAGACCATTTAGGATTTGAACAACACCTTCTGTACTGTCCACTATTTTATGTCAGTATTTTTCCTTCCATCCCTCTACCCCAAAGCTGATGAGAAAATCAAACATATTAGGAAGGAAACGGCTGCTGTTTTGTCTACTAATGTAACAGCATTTGCACTCAGCCCAGTGTTGGACTTCAGTTCCTAATATGCCTTCCCACTGGCTCCTAACGGTCTCTTTAATGCTCTTCTGTGTTGTTAATTATCTATGTTTGCCAGTTCATTCCTATCAGCATACTTACAGGTTGAAATAGCACCTATCTTCAAAAGAAAAAAGAGAAAGAGGAAGAAGAAAAAACTTCTTGAAGATCCCATAGCTCCTACAGATACAGTCTTCTGTCTCTGTTCCTCATTACAGCATGACACTTCAAATACGCTCTCTATGCTAGCTTTCCTTCTGTTCCTCCAGGAGATCCCTCCTCCCCTGCCAAACTGGTTCTTTCCCAGGTGCCTGGAGATCTCTGAACCTTCTTCCCTCACGGCCTCTTCCTTACACGCCTTCCCTTTGAATTCCACAACTCCTGCGTTCATGCCCCATGTGTAAGTGTCAGGTTGTTCTTCATTTCTCACACTCTTTGTTCCCTTGCTAGGTGGATCTTGTGGATTCCACTGTTCCTGAGATGTCTGCCTCCCTTATAGCTTTGGTGTCTCCTTCATGGCTTACATTCTCATGCCCAGTGATCTCCTTTGGAATGTCACAGTCTCCAAGGTTAAGTTCCTGACTTCCATCCCTTCAAACCTATTCCTACAGTGCTGTTCCTCACTTGCAGTTGTTCAAGTCAAAAACTCTTTTGAGCTAAGGAGATGACTCAGTATACAAAGGCATTTGTTGCCAGGTCTGTGGAAGAAGAACACCAGCTCTACAAAACTGTCCCGTCTTACATGCATGAGCTGTGGCACATATGCCCCGCCCCCAATAAATATAACTTTAAAAAAACAAACAAAACCTTGAGTGATCCTTGGCTCCTCTCTGCCGGGAACTGCTGCTTGCAGAGCCTTCAGATTCTACTCAGACTGTCCCCGCTGATCATCACCTTCTTAGGTTACTCCATCTGTATTCCTACCTTTATTGGATTGTTGCTGTTGCCTTTCTCATTGATCTCCTTTCTTCTGTTTTCTTCTCAACAAGATTCTCCTAATAGCAAACAAAGAGGACATTTTGAAACATGAAGTCACATCATCCCTGTGCTTAAAGCTGCCTGGTGGCTTTCCATGTCACTAAAATTAAAAGCTGAAAACTTTACAATGACGGAGAAGGTCTGCTGTCTCTCTCCTAGTGATATCAGAACCCATAAAGTCTCACCTACATGAATGCTCAAACATGAGCTGAACAAGGAGGACACCAGTGAATATTCCAGAGTGGACAAGAAAAAGCCCACTAGGATTCAGCCCTACACAAAGAACTATAGGCAACTGAGGAAAGTTGGGAACAGGAGAGTTGGTCCTCCCTAGGGAAGAGCACACCAATTGGTTATCCAGTGCCAAGTGGTGAGCTCTGAACAGGTTATATTTAGGAATATATATACACACTGACACATACATACATACATGCAATAACAGTGAATCAAGAAGTCATGAATTTGAAGGCAAGTGGGAGGGGCACGTGAGAGGGTTTGGAGGGAAGAAAAGAGAAAAGGAAGAAATGTAATTATCTCAAAAATAAAATAAAAAAAAAAAACAGCTCTTATGGTCTGGATCCTATGTGTACAGTGCAACACCAGATACCAGGAGCTGTTGCTATGGCTGTGAATGATGTGGTGCATGTGTATGTAGATACTGAAAACACAGAACCATGGCTGGCAGAACTCTGGGTCACTTCTTGAGAACCTTTTCAGAAAGAAGCAAGAACATTCTTAATTTTAGAATTTTTTTTTATGGCTACTTTGCAGTAGGTTGCTGTTCTTCAGAATAAAGTCAAACTCACAAACAGAAATTCTGTGAAGGAAAGTGAGATGATAAAGATTCTGCTGAGTACTGTGCAACCATGGCTAGTCCCAGTCCTGTTTAAGTTTTGATTCCCTGGAGTCAAGAGTCTTTTGGAGATTAGGAGATTCTAGAGATTTTGTAGAATTTAGACAATGCCAACTCAGAGTTGAGGATACTAAAAAGCCTGTTGCTCCCATCACTGCACATCCTGTTCTGGTCTACTGTTGGAGACACGAGTCCCATTCCAGAAAGACCTGGATGTGGGGCATCCTGGTTGGTTTTTTGTTGTTGTTGTTGTTGTTGTTGTTGTTGTTGTTGTTGTTTTTTTGTCAGTTTGCACAAGGTAGGGTTACTACCTAAGAGGGAACCTCAATGGAGAAAATTCCTCCATCAGACTGGACTGTAGCAAATCTGTAGAGCATTTCCTGGGTTAATGAATGATTTAGGAAGGCCCAGGCCACTGGATGGTGCCACCCTTAGGCTGGTGGTCCTGGGTTATATAAGAAAGCCGGCAGAAGCTCTGAGGATTACCTCATAAGCAGCACTCCTCCATGGTCTGTTTCAGTTCTTGCTTGACTTCCCTCAATGAGTAACTGGGATTGGGACAAATAAGTCAAATAAGCCCTTTCCTCCCCATTGCTTTTGGTGATAGTGTCTTATCACAACAGTAGAAACCCTAATGAAGACAAGTTGGTGAGTCAAGCAAGTAGTGTTGACTACCAGTTCAAGAGCTGGTAACCATGTCTTAAGCTATAAATCACATTTGTTAATGTAGATAATGTGCTGGAAATTGTCAGGAGGACCATTTAACTACTTTTTCATTAGTGCCATGCATTGTGTAGTGGGACCCTACATTAATGATATAGGCTTTGGACTCTGGAAGTGGAACTAACTGCTGGGTAACCTCTTTTCCTAGTGGGGAACTGATCACAGAAACTACATGGTGTTCTTCATAATTTTCATTCAGTTCTTAACATGGTAATATGTAGCAGGAATCTTAACAGGTCTTATTATAAAATCAAACCTGAGGCCAGATATTGGAGTGAATGCTGGAAGATCAGAAAAGCGGAACAAGCCACAGCTACCTCACCTTGCCAGTTCCTCAGCTGATCCTGTTTCCTCAGACTGGAAACCTCTGTGTCCTCATCCAAATGGATCTCAGCTGAACTGCTGCTAGAAGCCTAAAAGCTTAAGCAGCCAAATGCTTCTAGTTTCTGGTCCTCACGCCTAATATATCTTTCTGCTTTCTGCCATAACTCCTTGGGATTAAAGGTTCACTTTCTGGGATTAAAGGCGTGTGTCACCATGCCTGTTTCCATTGTGGCCTTAAACTCAGAGATTCAGGTAGATCTCTGCCTCTGGAATGCTAGGATTAAAGGTGTGAGTGCCACCATTTTCTAGCCTCTGTATCTAGTGGTTGTCCTGTTCTCTGACCCCAGATAAGTTTATTAGGGTGCACAATATTTTGGGGAACACAATACCACCACATTTCCCCTTTTTTTGTGTCTAAAATTAAAAAAGCTTATAACTAATACAAGAAAAATTCTATCCAATAAGTATATACAATATACACAGTCAAGATTATATTAAGATGTCTAGTCCATTATTCAGACAAAAAACTCCATTAATATATTAACAATGTCCAGTCCAGCAACATTTGATAAACTCAGACAAAAAAATTTTCATTACTTATCCTATGTAAAACAAGTAGTTCTTTTTTTAAAAGTAGATTCAAAAATTGACCTGTTTTATCATATTCAATAATATTTGTGTTACTCTTACATTCTAGGAAAGAAACTACCATGCTTTTTTAAAATCATTGCTAGAATCACCACTATGTTAGAGATTTTTATTTCTTGTTGATTAATACTGTTGGGGTGGGATAATTCATCCATGCAATAAAGCTTTAAAAATGAAGATCATTATTAAACAGATTTATAATTTGTGCATATAATTCCAACTACCCTTATTCCTTAATTGCCAAAAGGTCCAGATTCATCGAGTAAGGCTGTCTTTTGATAAGATTCTTCTGAAGAGAGAAATAGGAAGTGACAGATTAACAATTAGTAGTTCCTCCTCAGCTTAGTCTGTGAGGTGACAAAAATTACTACTGTGTTTTATTTTGGGGCCATATGTTGTGTCCATATTTTTTCCTTCTCTCCAGCATCTGCTAGTGTTTAGATGGGATAATTTCTCTAGTATTTGCAAAGTCTGGGAAATACTTCAAATATATCTAGCTAATGTTCTCAAAATACTGAGTGGGTCAAATTTGGGATTGGACTCTCGTGTTTTGACCTTAATAGCCAACTTTCTCTCTGACTTTAAAATATACACTGTGCTTTCTCTGTTCTCTTTGTCCTAACCAGGCTGCAGATACTTTGGCTGTGAGGCAAAAGCGAAGAATTTATGATATCACCAATGTCTTAGAAGGAATTGATCTAATTGAAAAAAAATCAAAGAACAGTATCCAGTGGAAGTAAGTCACACAAACCCTACCCAATACTAGCTACATATCTAGCTTTAAACCTTTCTTTCTTTTTTTTTTAATTTAATTTTATTTTACAATACCATTCAGTTCTACATAACAGCCACAGATTTCCTTGTTCTCCCCCTTCCTGCCCCCAGCCCACCCCCCATTCCCACCTCCTCCAGAGCAAAGCCTCCCCCGAGGACTGAGATCAACCTGGTAGGCTCAGTCCAGGCAGGTCCAGTCTCCTCCTCCCAGACTGAGCCAAGCGTCCCTGCATAAGTCCCAGGTTTCAAACAGCAGCCAACTCATGCAATGAGCACAGAACCTGGTACCACTGCCTAGATGCCTCCCAAACAGATCAAGCCAATCAACTGTCTTACCTATTCAGAGGGCCTGATCCAGTTGGGGGCCCCTCAGCCTTTGGTTCATAGTTCATGTGTTTCCATTTGTTTGGCTATTTGTCCCTGTGCTTTATCCAACCTTGGTTTCAACAATTCTCGCTCATATAAACCCTCCTCTTTCTCGCTAATTAGACTCCCGGCGCTGCACTTGGGGGCGAGCCATGGATGTCTGCATCCAGATTCCTCAGTCCTTGGATGGGGTTTCTGGCACAACTATTAGGGTGTTTGGTTCAAACTAAAATCAATCAAAAGAGATCAAGAAGGGAATTACTTAAACCTTTCTTTAAATGCTCAGTTTAGCTGGCCAATCACACCAGACTTCTCTTCCCCAGGACAGGCTCCCTGGGCTTGCCTATCTGTTCATTATGTGTTGGATATTTTCCTTGCTCTCTCCACTCTTTCATATATTAGCTAGGACATGATTGTGTGCTTCTGACAAATACGCTCTGTTTTTAGAGTACTCCTTCGGCCTTAGTTTTTTGTTTTGTTAGAATTCTATCCCAAACCAGAAGTTTACAGTTAGCTTTACCAGCACCTCAGTGTACACCAGGAGACTTAAATGTAACTGTTTAGCTTTGATGTGATTTTGGCACCTCGGTCACTAGCTTGGCCTTCCAGGTGATAAAAGCCATTCTAGCACATACTAAGCATTTTTAAAACATGGTTCTTGTCATCAAAATTTTTTGTTGTTATTTGAAAGGTGTTTTTTTGTTGTTGTTGTTAGTGGTGGGTTTTTTTTTTTTTGTCTTTTTTAGGTTTTTGTTTTTTTACTTTTTATGTGCGTTGGTATTTTGCCTGCATGTATGTCTGTGTGAGGATGCTAGATTCCTTGGAACTGGTGTTACAGACAGTTGTAAGCTGCCATGTAGGTGTCGGGTCCTCTGAAAGAGCAGCCAGTGCTCTTAACTACTGAGTCATCTCTGCAGCCCCTATCAGTAAATTTTCCAAGCAAGTATGTATACAGCTTTGATGTTTTAAGTTTTGTAAGGATTTTAATGTGTGGTTCCAGAAGAGTGTAAACTCATCTTGATTAATGTATAAGTCCGTTTATTACTATAAAAATTAAATGATATATTAAATGGGTGTCTGAACCTGTAGGTATTAATTCTCATGCTTTTAAGGGGTGTAGGTGCTGGCTGTAATACTAAAGAAGTTATAGATAGATTAAGATTTCTTAAAGCTGAAATTGAAGATCTAGAACTGAAGGAAAGAGAACTCGACCAGCAGAAATTGTGGCTACAGCAAAGCATCAAAAATGTGATGGAAGACTCCATTAATAACAAATATCCTTCTGAGTAAGTTTTATATATATAGCTGCAGAATGTGTACATGCTTCTT